GCTCTTCCTTCCGACCTTACGTCGCCGCTCGCTGTTGCAGCTCCGCGACCCACGCCTGCCGGCCTGCCCTGGACCTGGGTCAGCCGGGGGCCTCCGGGAGGAGGGGCTCTGCCCAGACCAGAGCTGCCATGGTTTCTGCTGCAGCTGCTGCCCCTTTTGCTGCCCAGAGCCGGAAGTGGATTCTCTTTGAGTTTGGTTAAAGCACTGATGCTCAGCGCGTGGTCCCAAGACCAGCAGCATCACCTGGGAGCTGTTAGAAATGCAGGTTCTAGGGCCCCACCCAGACTTCCTGAATCAGAGGCTGTGGGTGTTTAAACAGCAGCAGTTGGTGGTGATAAGCCATCCAGGCGGTCCTGACCCAGGCTCATCTGAACACTGCTGCTTTACGTCTGAAAAGTGGCCACTGGCAGGGATCCCACAAACACAAGCAGCAAAGACAGATCCCCTGTCCCGTGTTTAGTGGGGACCCCCAGACTACTGCTGGAGGGTGGTGAGGACCAGGGACCCCCACAGAGTCCACCAGGGAAGTTGGAGTCAGTGTGTGTCACCTGCACCATCCAGAACATGTTTGCGCAAGGAAGATGCTGTCAGGGCTGGGCAGGGGGGCGGGGGGGACCTGTAGCCCTCTCGCTGCACTTTTGTGCTCCAGGACATTCTCAAGAGATCCCTGGCTTTCCCATTTAAGGAGGTAGAGTCACTTAACAAGTAGTTTTTAGCTGCCCCTTGTGTGCTCTGGAGTTGGAGGGGGCCGATACGGGAGGGGGCTCTTTCGTCTTTCCCCAAATTCTCTTGCTTTTGGCCCCCACTGTCTCCTGATGAGGCCAGATCTAGGTTTTTTAAAATAGGCAAGAAAGGGACTTCCCTGGTGGCGTAGTGGTTAAGAATCCGCCTGCCAGTGCAGGGGACACGGGTTTGAGCCCTGGTCCAGGAAGGTCCCACATGCTGCGGAGCAGCTAAGCCCGTGCGCCACGACTACTGAGCCTGCGCTCTAGAGCCTGCGAGCCACAACTACTGAGCCCACGTGCCACAACTACTGAAGCCCACGTGCCTAGAGCCCATGCTCCGCAACAAGAGAAGCCACGGCAATGAGAAGCCTGTGCACCGCAACCAAGAGTAGCCCCCGCTCGCCGCAACTAGAGAAAACCCGTACACAGCAACAAAGACCCAACACAGCCAAAAATAAAATTAATTAATTAATTTAAAATAATAATAATAAGCAAGAAAGACCAGAAGAAACGAAGAACAGAGAAACAGATGCCTCCGACTTGAGAGCTTGCTGTAGTGGTTGTTTTCTCCCTCTTTTGACTGATCCTTTGGGGGTGGATGGGGTGCACTTTGGGCCCAGGTGGGTGAGAGCCGTGACCTGTTTGCCCTCCCCTTCTCCCATCTCCTAGTGGCGTTTTGCCTTCAGCCACTTCGTGGTGGAACCCGGCCAGGAGTACGAGGTGACCGTCCACCACCTGCCTAAGCCCATCCCTGACGGGGACCCAAACCACCAGTCCAGAAACTTCCTGGTGCCCGGTAAGAGTGCCCCCCCCCAAGCCTTCCCTTCACCCCTCACTGCAGTCAGCCTGTGGGACCCACGGGACAAACAGGTGCAGGGTCAGGTTCTTTGCTGAGTGGCCGCAGCCTCCACTCCCTGAAGGCAGAGCCCGTTCTTGCGACACAAACAGTGGGTGTTGGCCCATGACCCCAGGAGCTTCACGGGACCCGGAGTCCCTCCGCGTGGCTGAAGATGCACGTTTCCTGCCCAGAACGTGTCAGGAACACAAGCCAGTCCCAGGAGAGCTGTGGCCCTGCTCCCAGCCCCGCCCCAGCTCTCAGTTCCTCATTCTTCCCCCACGTCCCACCTGCATTTATCCCACGCCTTCCCCCCTTGCCACTACTCCCTCCTCCTGGGAGGCCTGGCGGGCTCATCTTCCAAAGCATCATTTGATGTGTGTGCACCTCTGGGGTGCATCTCTGTCCTCCCCAGCATCTCTGCCACTGCCTGCTTTTCTCATTGTTAAGAGCCAAGCACACCTAGATGCCCGGCCGCTTGAGAACAGGGCCTGGACCCTGCACCCACCTGTGCAGCCTCCAGACCCCCACAAATGGCCCTGCGTGTGGGAGGTGATCGGGAAATGCTTGTTGAAGCCTTCATCTCCACAGCACCCCTGCTCACACACGTGCACACAGGCATACTCCTATACGTGCACACGCACGTGCACACAGGCACGTGCGCACACGATCTGTTCACCCGGCTTTCTTCCCCCTTGTGTCACTCCCTGCTCCCTGACATTCCATCATCTTGACATATTCGTGACGTGATATTACACTATTTGCTTTTACGGTCTCTCCTGCTGGAATGTCATCCTCGGAGGGCAGGGACTTTGTCTCACTCACCACTGTATCTCCAGGGCCTGGCACATATTGGGGGCTCAGCCAGTATTTGTCAAATGAGTGACCCCCCCCGCCCCCTCCCCTGTCCCTAAAGCGGACTGGCTCAGCCCCTGTCACTCGCAGTGATTCACGCCTCTCATGTGCCTTCTGAGACCAAAGTAAAAACGTTGCAGTCATGGAAATGGAGGGACCAAGGAGACATCTCCAGAGGAGGGGTCCCCACGGGCTCCCTGGGTCCACAGCACCATGTAATCACCTGGGAACTTGTCAGAAATTCAGCTTCCCAGGCCCACCCCAGTGGGGCTGAACCCAAGACTACTGTGAGGACGTGGGAAAGTTGGGGAAATGCTGCCGTTTGCTGAGGGGGACACAGTCCATCTCTCCTCAAGGGCAGAGGCGGCTCAGGAGAGGGATCCCCGGGGGAGAGGAAGCAGGAGTGGACCAGGACCCCTCGGTCCCAGAGCAAGTCCAGGGAGCTTACACCTGGATCTAGAAGGTCCCTGGAGGGAGGAGGGCTGAGACGGCCAGGGCGGTCCCAGGCCTATGGGGCCTCTGGCCCATGGCAGTGTCTGTCCTGGGGCTTCTCTGAAGGGCCAGCTTTGAACAGGCCCCCCAGAGGCAGAAGGTTGTTAGCTCTGGTGTCAGAGGCTCTGTAGGAGCCAGCTTTCCAAGGGAGGTGCGTAACGGTTGCACTTTTTCCCGGTCCACAGACTGCGAGGACCCCAGGATGAAGATGACCACGCCCTGCGTGAGCTCAGGTAACTGTGGCGGGCAGCCCTGTGGGGGGCTTTACTTGGGTGCACACGCACACATGCACACCTGCACGCATGCTTGCCCCTCACTCCCGGCCACGTCTGTGCCCCTGTGGGACAGGCAGCCTGTGGGACCCCAGCATCACTGTGGAGACCCTCGAGGCCCACCAGCTGCGGCTGAGCTTCACGCCGTGGAACGAGTCCACCAAATACCAGATCCTGCTGGACAGCTTTCTACCCGCGGAGAACCGCAGCTGCTTCCGACACGTCATGGATCTGGCCGTGGTAACTGCTCTCTCTGCCGCTCTCCTAACCCCCCAGCTTGGCTCAGAGCCACCTCTCCAGGCCCAGGTGCTCAGTCTGTGCTGGAGGGCATGACCTGAGCTGCCCTTCCCCCTTCCCATGTGTGGCTGGTCTGTGGCTGGTCTGTGGCTGGTCTGTGGCTGGTGTGTAGTTGCTCCGACGGCTGATAGGACACGGCTATGTCTGCCCTGCACACCCGGCCCTCTGTCCTCCCCTCCGCCACGTTTTCCTGGGCCTCTTTTTGTTTAGCCTTGCTAATTCCATTATTGCAAAAAGGATTTGAAGACTTTAAAATGTGGAAATGAAGACAAAGGGGAGTAAAGGTGAGGAAATAAGATGAAGCCAGGGTAGGGCCAGTGCAGGACACGTGTGTCCGTCCCCAAGATCCCCAGCAGCCAAAGCCAAGAGGGGCAGCTTGGTGCTGGATGCAGTCCTGAGTCGACACACCTACGGCCCTGGGGAGGAGCCGCTCCTCCTGGAGCGGGGCCTGCCAGCCGCTCTCCCCGGGGCCTCCTGGGGGTGCATCCCAGCAGAGGCCAGGGCCTCACTGCCCCTCTGCCCTGCAGCCTGCACAGGAGGCCGCCCGGCAGTGCTGCAACGTCACACTCACCCTGCCACGCTTCAGCTGGTGCTGCCGCCACCACGTGCAGGTGCGGACTGGGGTGGAGACGGGGTGGGCACAGGTGCAGGTGGGCAGCCCGGGGCTCGTGCTCCCCAGGGACCCAGCACCGCTACGGCCTGGGATTTCCTGCCCGGCCCCCGGCCTCACCTGGGCAGGGCCCTTTGCCCCCTCCCGCCCAGCAGCCGCGGGGACGTCCTGGAGGGGCCGGCAGGGTCCGAGGTGGGCCACGCCCCGGCCTCTCCTGCCTGCGCTCTGTCCTTGCAGATCCAGCCCTTCTTCAGCAGCTGCCTCAACGACTGCCTCCGACACTCGGTGGCCGTGCGCTGCCCAGAGGTCCCGCACACCCCAGGTGAGACACACGGCTGCCGGGGGCGCACCCCGGGGGAGGGCGGGTGAAGCTCGGCAGCACGACCCGAACCCTGACGTCGTCCTGGAGGCGGGGGCGGGGGGCGACAGTTGTCCGGGCCTGCGCTGTGGGGCCTTAGAGAGACTCCAGGTTGGACTCCTGACTGCCTTTCGTTAGCTGTGTGGCAAAGCACTTAACCTTTCAAAACTTCCGTGACTTGAAAAATGGGGATTCTTATTGTCATAGTTACAGTTAAGGACCATGTAGTGAACAGGGTGCTCTAACGTGTCCACAAACTGTGAGTCATAGTACTACCTGCTAAGTACTGTATACTAGGTACTATGCACTATAGTGCTGTGTGCTATGTACTGTGTACTAAGTACTGGGTACTGTGCACCACAGTATAGGTACTGTGTACTATAGAGCTAAGTATATTTTACTGAGTACTGTGTACTAAGTACTGGGTACTGGGTACTATATACTTTGTACTGTGTACTAAGTACTGTGTACCTTATACTGAGTGCTGTGTACTAAGTACTGTGCACTATGCACTCTGTACTATGTAATATATACCATGAAGTGGAGACTCCCTCCCCCAGGTTCATAGGTGAGGAAACTGAGGCACAGAGATGTCAGGCACCTTGTCCAAGGTCACACACCAAGGAAGTGGCAGAGCCCCGGTTCTGACCTGAGTTCAGAAGCCTCCTGCAGCAGACGCCAATCAAAAAGCAGCGGAGGGGCTTCCCTTGTGGTGCAGTGGTTGAGAGTCCGCCTGCCGATGCAGGGGACGCGGGTTCATGCCCCGATCTGGGAAGATCCCACATGCTGTGGAGCGGCTGGGCCCGTGAGCCATGGCCGCTGAGCCTGCGCATCCGGAGCCTGTGCTCTGCAACAGGAGAGGCCACAACAGTGAGAGGCCCGTGTACCGCAAAAAATAAATAAATAAGCAGCAGGCATTGCACTGGCCTGGACGGAACCCGGCCTCCAGGTGGAAGCAGGCGTCTCCCAGTAGGCCACCAGCTCAGGTGTCCCCTGTAGGTGGTGTCGCTAAGTTTAATAACCTGTACAAAGGGCTGGGCGTCGGGCCAGGCCGTCAGCAGGCCCCAGCATGGCACGCGGGTGGTGGGTGTGGTGACTGCTGCTAGTAACTGAGAGTCTGTCCCTTGGTTCTTATTGCAGACGCCGTTGAAGGTAAGGCCGACTCCTCCCAGGCTCTGCCGCCTCAGGGGACACAGAGGTCCCTGTGTCCTGGAGTGGAGCCAGGCAGAAAGGCTGCACCAGGAGGCGGCCCTGGGTGGCGGGACCATGGCCCATCTTGGTGTCAGGGAGGACCCCCCGGGGTGGGCGGTGGGTTAAGGACCCCAGGGCTGGCACAGCAGAGAGGGCAGCTCAGGGAGGGCAGCGGGCGGGCCCCCGGGGCTGGTGTCACAGGCCTCCCTGCCACGCCATCACACTGTTCTCCTGCCACAGACTACATGCCCCTGTGGGTGTCCAGGTGCATCCCCGGCCTCTCCATCCTGCTCGTGGGTTCCGTCATCCTGCTGACCGTCTGCGTGGGCTGGCGGCTACCGGGTAAGGCCAGGGGCTGTGGGCCCACCTGGGGCTTGCCCTCTGCCCCGCCCCTCTTCCCGTGCCCCTTCTCCCTGCACCAGCTGGGAGACTGTGCTCACAGCCCCATGCATCCCCGCCCTTCAGCCTGTTAATAAGCATCGATTCCCTCTGGCTGCGGCCCTCTCTGGCCACGTTCTAAGCAGGAGGAAACATGGGTCTCTGGGGTGGGGACTTGGCATCTCCCTGCCCCTCCACGACCCCGATCTGGGAGGCCGTTTCCCCTGTGACCACGGCTCATGCTGGGAAAGATCACGCGAGACCTGTTGAGAGGGTCCTTCCCTGGGAGGGTCCCGCCGTCCAGGTCTCTGCAGGCGTCGGGAGGCCGTCTGCTTCTCGTGCTGCACGTCTGACCTTTTCCCGAAGCGGCCACTCCTCGGGGCGAGGGAGGACCTCAGAGTTCTAGGCAGAGGCCCAAAGGGTAGGGCTTGAAATCAAGGTTCCAAATGTCCTCCTTGGCCACGTGGCTCTGGTGAGTCAGCCCTGCTCCACGGGGCCCTTCGCTGCCTCCAGGACGGAGTGGTCACTTAAGCACGCTGGTTTACCCCCTCACCCCAGAACACCAGCAGGAGGGACTTCTCTGGCGGTTCAGTGGTTAGGCCTCTTCACTGTCATTGCCAAGGACCTGGCTTCACTCTCTGGTTGGGAACTAAGATCCCACAAGCCGCGAGGCGCGGCCGAAGAAAAGAAAAAATACCAGGAGGGAATTTTAAGGGGCCCAGTGGCACTACGTCTGGAAGCATCTCGGAAGACTTTTGCCTCCTGGAAGGACACGTCTGGGGAAGGGGCTTTCCCTGAAAGGGAGCTCTGCTTGGGGATGGCCACTGTTGGGGTGTAACCTCCCAGGCACCATTCTGGGGGTCCCAGCCGGGTCAGTGCTGCAGAATACTTGTGACCCGGCTGGTGGGGTGTGCCGGGCGCTTCCCACACAGACCCATTTCACAGAGGAAGAAACTGCGTTTCAGAGGCGTCGATACCTCCCGCAGGTCACACAGCGGTCATGGGAGGGACGGTCTCCCTGCAGAGGCCCAGAGCGTCTAAGAAGTGCTACCTCGACCCCTCCCTTGGTCGGGAGTGGGGCAGAGCTCCCAGCAGGTGCCCCTGTGAGCTGGTCCCTGTTTCTCTTCCAAAAGAGCCGTTCTGAGCCATCTTGTAAGATTTGTGCTTCCTGCGAGGACACTTCTGGAGCATTACTTCTGGCATTTCTTTTCCTTTCAGGGTCCCATCACGGAAAATATGAAAATGGCACCAAATGCACAGGTGGGCACCTCCCGGCTTGGGCAGCCTGGGTTTGGGGTGAGTCTGTTCACAGCGGCCCTGGAGGGGCTACCCAGTCAGCTCCTGTCCCTCAGGAGATGGCACCTGCCCGGGACCCACCTCTAGCTCCGAACAGGGGGGACCTCAGACAGCGAGACTGGGCTTAACAGTTGCTCATCGCTGAACTAGGAGGGGAAGGTAAAGGCACCGTATTTTGTGAAAAGAGGTCCTCCCGAAAGCAGCTTTGTGTAAACGGGCCTTTGTGTCTTGTAAGAAAAAAAGCAAAAAAAAAAAAAAAAGCAAAAAAGCAATTTTAATTAACATGGAGGCTAAAGGCCAGATAACAAAGTGAGAGGCTCCTTTCCCCAAAGGCACAGGCTGTTTTGCAGCCAGCCAGCACAGTCAACGCAGCTGCCTCGGGCTTATTCTGAGGTCTCAGCTGCATTTTGGGGGCTCGGGAGTCTTCCGGCCAGCGGGGCAGGGCTGTCCCCGGCCTGTGGTGTGTGGTCAGCGCCGACACGCCTGAACCCTCGGCCTGGCTTCCCTTGTTTCCCTCAGACGTCCTGCCCGCTGCCACCAGCCTGAGCCCCCCACCCCTGAAGCCCAGAAAGGTCTGGATCGTTTACTCGGCCGATCACCCCCTCTACGTGGACGTGGTCCTGAAGTTCGCCCAGTTCCTGCTCACCGTGTGCGGCACCGAAGTGGCCCTCGACCTGCTGGAGGAACAGGCCATCTCGGAGGCGGGGGTCATGACCTGGGTGGGCCGCCGGAAGCAGGAGGTGGCGGAGGGCAGCTCCAAGATCATCGTCCTGTGCTCCCGAGGCACCCGGGCCAAGTGGCAGGCCATGCTCGGCTGGGAGGACGCCACCGTCCAGCTTCGCTGCGACCGCGGGAAGCCCGCGGGGGACCTGTTCACGGCGGCCATGAACATGATCCTGCCGGACTTTAAGAGGCCCGCCTGCTTCGGCACCTACATCGTCTGCTATTTCCGTGACATCAGCTGCGAGGCCGACGTCCCCGAGCTCTTCAGCATCACGTCGTGCTATGCGCTCATGGACAAGTTTGAGGATGTCTACTTCCGCATACAGGACCTGGAGATGTTCGGGCCGGGCCGCATGCACCGCGTCGGGGCGCTCACGGCCCAGAACTACCTGCAGAGCCCCGGCGGCCGGCAGCTCCGCGAGGCCGTGCAGCGCTTCCGCCGCTGGCAGGCCCAGCGCCCCGACTGGTTCAAGCTCGAGAGCCTCTGCCCGGCAGACGACCAGGACCTCCCGTCCCTGGACGAGGAGGCCTTTGAGGAGCCGCCGCCGGGAGGAGGGATCGTCCGGCAGGAGCCGCTGGTGCTGGAACCCGCCTCCCAGGGCAGCCTGCTGGTGGAGCTGCTCCTCGCGGGGCAAGGAGGGGGCCCGTCGCGGCTGGAGCCCCAGCCTTGGCCCCAGGAGCAGCCGGCGGCCCAGACGCTCCAGACCACGGTGGTCCCGGTGGACGGGGCCCCTCCAGCGCAGGCGGTGGAGCCCGTCCCTCGGGCCGTCAGGAGCGGTGCCACCAGCCGGCTGGCCCTGGCTGGGGGAGACGAGGCCTGCCCGCTCCTGGGCGGCTGGGGCCCTGGGCGGAACAGCATCCTCTTCCTCCCCATGCACCCCGAGGACCCGCCCGTCTGCAGCAGCCCCACGGGGCGGCCGGACGGCTCCATACTGCCGTCCCTGCAGCAGAGCCTGCGCTGCCCTGCAGGGGAGCAGCGGCGGTCGGTGCAGTCCGACCAGGGCTACATCTCCAGGAGCTCCCCGCAGCTCCCGGACGATGACGAGGGGGACCAGGGCGGGGGGCCGGGCGGGCAGCCGCTGTGTCCCGAGGGCCTGGAGAGCCTGCGGAGCCTCCAGCTCCTGCTCCTCCTCCAGGAGCTGCACAAGAACCCTGGCCTGGAGCCCAAGGGGCCGCCGTGTGGGACCTCCCCCGCCCAGGGCGGTGAGCACGTGTGTCCGTAGGTGTGCACGTGTGGACGTGTGTATGCTCGTGAGACGTGTACCTTTAAAACGTAAACATCTTGGGGCTTCCCTGGTGGCGCAGTGGTTGAGAGTCCGCCTGCCGATGCAGGGGACGTGGGTTCGTGCCCCGGTCCGGGAGGATCCCACATGCTACGGAGCAGCTGGGCCCGTGAGCCATGGCTGCTGAGCCTGTGCGTCCGGAGCCTGTGCTCCACAACGGGAGAGGCCACAGCAGTGAGAGGCCCGCGTACCATAAAAAAAAAAAAAAAAAAAGTAAACATCTTGGCTCTGTCCCCTTAACCTTTCTTCCCGTGACCATCCCCGCGAGAAGCCACAGCCTGTTCCCAGGAGCTAATGGCAGTGTCCTTGGGTGTCCGTCACTCGTTCCTTCAGCCTTTATTTTGTGCCCCGCATTGCCCTGACCGTCAGGGAGCTGCCCGTCCAGTGAGAGGGACGGGGTAGCACACGGGGTGGGGCGCGAGATGCGGAGGCTGCCAGAAGCTCGCCCGGGGCCGTGAAGTCCACAGAAGGGGCGCCTGGCCCAGGGAGAAGCTTCTGGAGGAGGACGTGTCTGAGCCGAAGGAGCAGCTCGTTTCCCGGGCCGAGGGCTGCAGGCGAGTGGGGCAGGGCCGTAACCGAGCCTGCCGCGGAAGGTGGGGCAGTGGGCGCAGCCTGGGGAGGCCTCGGGGCCAGGCTGGGTGCGGCTGGGGCTCCTTCACCAGGATGAACTGCTGCCGTCAGGAGGCTGAGGGCCAAACACACCCAGTCATTTTCGGAAAGAGACCAGATAGAAGTGTGGGTCGTGGCGCCTGACGGCATCAGCAGGGCCCAGCCCAGCGTGGCCTCGGTCAGCGGGAGACCTACGGCCGAGGGTTCTTTCGGGGCTGCAGCGCCCGAGCTCGGGAAGCACAGGGAGCCCCCAGCCCTGTGCACGCTGGGGTCCCCCCGGGATCCAGGGCTCTCTGTGCCTGTACCTGAGTCCTGAACTGGAGCTCCGGGCTCCTGCACGGAGGGGAGGATTCTGAAGTTCGGTGGGAAATCAGATACCAGGGTGTGTGCACGCGCGTGTGTGAAAGAGCTTATCGATGAAGGAATGAATAAATTCGTTAACTCAGAATTCCCAGGGGTTGAGTCACACGTTGCTATAGATCAAGAAGTTCCTCGTGGCAGAGGCCTTTCTCGTGGTGAGGTTGTGCCTGGTAGCAGCAGGCCTTCGAGGCCCAGGCCCTGGACGGTGCTTAGCTCACAGCCAGCCCGCTGGTAGCAGAGGACCAGGTGCGGGAGTGCTATAGACTGCGTCCGTGTCCCCCCCAGATCCTGAGGTTGACACCTAATCCCCTGTATGATGGTGTTGGGGAGGACCTCTGGGAGGAGGTGAGGGCATGGGTGGGGCCTCGTGGATGGGACGAGTGCCCTTCTGGGAGACCCCACAGGGCCCCCTCGCCCTTCTGCCATGCGAGGACGCAGCGAGATGGCTGTCTGTGAAGCAGGAATCTGCCGGCACCTTGACCTTGGACTTCCAGTCTCCAGCACCGTGAGGGGTGTTTCTTTCGTTAAAAGGCTGCCCAGTCTGCAGTGTTCCGTTACAGCAGCCGGAGTGGACAAAGATGGGGACAGAGGAGCTGAGCCTTCCCATCCACCAGCCTCTGAGGCACCATCCCTCTGATGATGCAGTTGGGTGTCATTGGGTCCAGACTCCCACAGGCTTTCTGAGACATTCCCCCTGCTTCCAGCCAGCACGTGTTCAACATGCAGAGCGTGGATTCCACAGCTGGAGCCGGGGCTCTGCCTTGTGGCAGGATGGCCAGCCCACATGGTCCTGGTCCCGGGAGCACACTCTCCATTTGGACCGCCTTCCCCACAGACCTCAGATTCTTGCTTTGCTGGCCTTTGAAGCCAGGTGTCCCCAATTGGCATTGTCCACTATGTTCCCTTTATCAGCAGGGCTCCTGCCTTTTTTCCTAACAGCTTTACTGAGATAGGATTCACAGCTCATACAACTCACCATGGACCCTGTACAGTTCAAGGCTTTAGGGGCTCAGAGTTCAGCAACCTTCCGCATAATCAGTTTTGGAACATTTTTCTTACGCCCCCAAAGAAACGCAGCCCCTAATCATCACCCCAAACCCCAACCTCCCGTCGCTAGGCAAGCACTAATTTCCCTTCCGTGGTGTGCCTGCGTGGACGTGGCGGGTGTAAACAGAGTTGTGAAGTTCCCCAGGTGCTCAGCCTTGTTCTGCCCACTCTCCCTCCCCCTCCCCCAGAGCCCCCAGTCTCACACTGGTCTCAGCTGGCCGCAAGTGCTGGAGATTCCATGAGCCTGAATGTGGTGTCAGCCATTTGCCAAACACCGAGAGCATCAAGTGTGAATAAGGCCAGGCCTCTCTTCTCGTGCTCTTCTGAACCTCGGCTAATAAAATCCTGCCTCACCCAGAGAGGTCCTCCAAGAGCCCATGTCCTGCAGTCTGTGACCACCACCCCTGGACTCCTCGCTTGGACAGAGTGACAGAAGGGACTCGAGGAGGCAGGAGGACTCCCGGCCACATGACCCTCGTGGATGTCCACGGCTTTTCCTGTAGGAAGACGAGGAATGATTACGTGGGGCCATGGACCTTGCTGGATTCGTTGGTTCTGGATCAGCTTCTCTTTCTGCTCAGGAAGGTCCTCAGGTTTTGGAGGGGGTTTTGTTCATCCCTTAAATATCCACTCAGCAGGTTGAGCTGGGCCTCTGAACACCAGGTATGATGGATTTTACTGATTTCCTGCTTACCTTTGAATCAGAAAGAAGGGAGAGTATGATGCTCACAGAACGATGGCAGTTTCCATCCTATAGCCTTTGCACTCCGCGGCGGGGGGCAGTTTCCCCTCCCAGGTAAACAACGGTGGGGCCTTCCTGCGAAGACCTGCCCGGTGAGGGCCCAAGTGTACTGACCAGCCTTGCCTGTCAGAGGAACGGGGAAGAAAGGGAGAAGCCTAGTCCAATGCCCCCCATACCCAGGCACCCTTTCCTGGGGGGAGTCACCTTCGGTTGTTCACACCTAAGTGTGACACCGTGTCCTGGCTCCTTCCCTTCCTGAGAAAAGGTCTGCCTGCAGCCTGACTGGGGGCCTGCGGGACCAAAAGGGTGTGGATCCGGCCCCTGCTTTTTAGCCAGAGCCGGACAACGGAAGGGAGGCCACATCCGAAGGCTGCCCGCGGCCGACGGACGTGGTTCAGACCCGGATTCCCTCCCTGACCGCAGTGCAGCCTCCAGCAAGTGGCTCCATCCTTCTGGGCTCGGGGATGGAAGGGCAGCTCCCCAGAGGGGCTGCGAGGACCCGGAGGGGCCGGCCAGCAGAGCACAGGCCTCCAAGTCCCCCGACCCCAGGCCGGCTGCAGGGCCAGACTCATCTGACACGACCTCCCCTCTTGAGCAGGTGAGGGGCAGCTCAGCCACGAGAAACGTAGTCAAGGTGGTCACCTTACCATCCATCCGCATTTAGGGAGAAATGAAGACACGGTCTGCTGTTCTGAAACTATTGTAAGTTTTGTCCCCGTGACGATTGTGAATGTCTTGACGGAAAGGACCGTTTTTGCACATATCGCCCCATTACTGCAGCCTGTGAGGGAGGGGACGTCGCTGCTGTCTTATAAGTGAGGGAAGGCCCTGGAGGCCAGGTGGTGCCAGCGCCCAGCTGCGGGGGGCAGGCAGGGCAAGCGAGACGGGCCCTTGGCCTCACCGTGTGAATAGCCCCTGAATAGCACCAGCTGTTTCTGTGCTAAAGAACAATGACCGTCGTCTTTTTTTTTAATTTATTTTTGGCTGCGTTGGGTCTTCGTTGTTGCGGCAAGGGGGGGGCTTCTCTTGTTGCGGAGCACGGGCTCTAGGGCACAGGCTCAGTAGTTGTGGCACGCAAGCTCAGTTGCCTCATGGCATACGGGATCTTCCCGGACCAGGGCTCGAACCCATGTGCCCTGCACTGGCAGGCGGATTCTTAACCACTGTGCCACCAGGGAAGTCCGACTGTAGTCTTATTTTTATGCAGGCCCCATGTTCTCTTAGACTCCCCAGACCCCGTTGTGTTGAAAACAAGCATGGCCTGTTCTCCTTTGTGATAAGCATTTCTGCTCCTGGCTGGGGAGAGAAGGGCAGAGCATTTTAAAAGCCATTTCTCAGCCCTTCCCCCACTAACGAGTTATTCTCAGAAAGAAGGAGTGAGCGCCCAGGAGCTGGGGAATCACCCTCGGGCTGAGAGCCCAGGGCACTTGGCTGTGCTGAGGAAGCCTGGCTGGGCCACACCAGGCCAGCCAGGTCAAGAGCCCGCCAGCCGCCTGGAAGGCAGTAGCCAAGGTGCACCCATAATGTTAACACAGACCCGCAAAATGATGACAGATGCCACGGTGACATTTAAGAGTTTAGTAAGGAAACCAGGACAGGAAAGATCTTAAAAGAAACTACACAGGAAGCTTGTCACAAGTCTCAAGTTTTTTATTTTCGGAACCAAAGCTGGTTTTATTTTTAAAAAGAGAAGGAGAAAAGAACGTGATAAATGCCAGTGAGGTGCCACTTCCGTCCTCCAGGCCCTGACTGCCAGCTCGCTCTCTTCCACAAAAAACTCATGGACTCAGAGCCGTCCTTAGAGAAGGTCTGGCCCAAGCCCTTCCCAATAAGATAAGGAGTCCGAGGCTCAGGGGAGGACGGCCTGACCTGCCCAACGTTAGAGGCGGCAGCCCGGGACCCGAGCCCAGCTTCTTATCCTCCGTGACCAGCACGGCGGGCGTGGGCGCGGGCCCGGGGACGCTAGGCACACCACGGCATCTCTGGTTGGACCCCGCGCTACAGGCGTTCCTAGAAATCAAGAAAAATGAAACTTTCGGGGCATTTCTTTTGGTGACTGAGGCAAGGGAAGTAAGTAAAAGGACTCAAGAAAAACACACCAGAAGGAAGGGGCAGACCCCCTGAGCACAAGTGCTGGCACCAAGTGTCGGGAAGAGGACATCTGTCCCGGGGTGAGTGGGGCTGGCAGCCGGACTGGAACAGGCCTGGCCTCTGCCAGACCAGCCAGGTGCCGGGAAGTGCAGCTCACCGGAACCCACCACAGCCTCCCACCAGAATACCCGACACCCTGGAGGTGTCGCAGCAGCGGTCACTCAGCAGGGAGACGGCCATCCAAACAGGAGAAGGGGGTGGGGCAGGGGGCCGGCCTGGGGCCGTGGCTCGGACACAAAGTCCTTCTCAAGTCACTGAGATTAGGTAGCAGAGAAACAGCAAAGCTGGAGAGAGGGTGTGGGAACAGAGGGAGCAGTTCCTGGACCCCCCCAGAATCTGGGCCCCAGAACTTTGACCACATGGAATTCAAAGGGCAAGAAGCGGGGTCCTGGGGAGGAGAGAAGGCAGGGAAAGAACAATTAGTTGCAAAATCCAACCAGCTGATCCTGGACCTGCTGGGCAGGGGGCTGGGAGCGGGGACACTGAGTGCAAACATGTTCCTCCCTCCCCGCCCCCCACCCATGAGAGCAGGGCGGCTCAGGCCATCAGCCCCGTCTGTGTGTCTGTCTTCTGTCAACAAGCCCCCAAGAAACTGAGAGAGAGGAGCCCCAAGTGCAAAACGGAGGCCCAGAAAGCAAAAGTCATGTGTCACTGAAGCTAGTGGGTGACAGAGTCAAAGCCACAACCCGGGACTTCTGGCCTCTGTCCAGAGTTTATTACACCACACAGAGCTCCCCAGGCACAAGGAGGGAGGGAAACAGATTCCTACAACCTCCCCCAACCCCATCCTATCGCAGGATGGAGGGGAGTAGGTACCCCTGGCCTGGCTCTCAGCTCTTCCTGCACCCTGACCTCCCCCCAAAATACTCATCCTGCCTCAAAGATGCCGAGAGAGGTCCTACATCAAGACTGTACGTGGGCAGCCCCTGGATGTGACCTGTCACTAGGGAGGGAGGCTGGGCCGGGTGGGGCTTAGCCACCCTACTCCACGCAGCCTGCTCTTCCCTAGAGACTCCCGTGACCAGAGCAGAGGACAACGGTCACCACCGCCCTTTCTCATGTATACCATGCTTCCTAAAGGAAGGACAGGTGGGGAGGTGGATTTCCTACGCCTGTGGGCCCATGGGAGGCCCAGCTCACATGGTTTTCTATCCAGAAACCCCACCAAAGCTGTTCTGAGCCAAGATCTGACCCAGCCAGCAACCAGCTGCAAGAAGGATAGGACTTATGGGCACATTTGGAGGGAGAGAGGGAGGGCAGCCAATGGCTGACCCTCCACAGACCCTGTAATAACACGGGCACCGAACACCAGCTGGATCCAGTGGCCACGTTGAATGCAACATCTGAGTATTTGTCCTTATTTTTTGCAAGCAGCATCAGTGTGTGATGCGACACAAGTGGAAAGCACGGAGGTAGAAACACCCAAGAAAGGGTGTAGTTTGGTCCTTAGAGTATGGACCCTCCCCTCCCCCCAGCTGAGAGGAAAGGAGTGGCGTTGAGGAAGATCCTGGGTGAGCTTCTCCCTCGGAGGAGGGCCACTGGGCAGCCCCCAGGAGCCCAACTCTGTCTGGGAATTCATGGCCACAGATTCAGGTAGGAATGAGGAGTGTGTGGTGGGGAGGACCGGGCCTCCCCAGATCGCCTCCTGATTGTGAGGGGCACAGGTTGGACACAAGGAGACAACACACGCGTGAATGCGCACGCACGTGTGCACACACGCGCGCACACACACACACAGACTTTGCATCTACCATCTGGAAGAAATGCAATGGACACATCAGGGGAGCGTGGGATTCTGGGTCATTTCAAGGTGTGGGTCAAGGACCACTAACCACAGCCTAAAAGAAGCTGGCACGTCCAAGCAACGGGGGGTGGCCGAAGGCCCTGGGCCCCCCTTCCCTCCATTCTGCCCCGCAAGGGAGAGGAATTAGAGGAGGTGGGAGAAGCAAGCAGCAGAGGTGCCCCGCCCCTGGAGGGAAGGACTGGGGAAGGGCGTTGAGAGAAGAGAGCCGGCGACCCTCCTCCCTGTCTCCAGCGGCTGGCTCCTTCCAAGCAGTCTTGAGCCAAGGGGTTCAGAGGGGCGCGCTGGCTCTCAGCCCTGTTTACAGTTACCTCCCCCAAACAGAGGCTGATCCAGTCCGGGTGAGGGAAGGTCGCAGGACAGGGAGCGGGGTCTCCCAACTCCAGAGCAAGCCCCCAGACCCCTCAGTTTTGGGAAGCCACAGCCAGGGTGTTGACGTAGCCGTGGGCGCCCCCGTCGTCCTCCGAGACGCAGTGGCCCAGCTGGGGGGCTCCTGGCACCGACGGGGCAGAGAGCGGAGCGCCGTAGCCTGCCCGAGCCCGGCTCGGGGACGCCGGGGGCTCCCTGTCGCAGCAGCCCTCCAGGGCCTCCAGGCCGCGGCAGCCGAGGAAGAAAAGGTTCTTGAGCATGAAGACGGAGAGCGGCTGCTGGTAGCTCACGGCCAGCAGGCAGCGCAGCGCCAGCAGGGGTACGTCCACGAGGCAGCCGCCCAGCAGGCGCAGCAGGCGGCTGCAGCCTCCCGGCCGCGAGGCCCGGCCCCGGGGCGAGGCGGCAGCGGCGTGGAGCTCGTGGAGCCAGAGCACCGGCGAGGCGAGCGCGAGGAAGTAGGCGGCGAGGAGCAGGTAGCGCAGGTGCGCGGGCAGCGGCGCGCGGCCGTCCAGCATCAGCTCCACCAGGGCGGAGCTGTCCAGCAGGTCCAGGCACGTGCCCAGGAAGCAGCCGGCGGCGCGGTGCCGCTGGGGCTGCAGGAGCAGGGGGCCCGCGGAGCCGGGGGTGGCGCCCGCCTCGCCGATGGCCCGCACCAGGCAGTAGAGCAGCGGCGCTGACAGCGCCAGGGTGAGGCGGAAGCCCGTGGTGCCGAAGGGAGCGCGCAGCTCGATGAGGTCCAGGATGGACGTGCCCAGGATGAGCACCACCTTGGGCGTGAAGGCGATGGAGTAGATGAGCCAGGCCAGGTAGGCGAAGGCGAACTCGCCGGCCGCGCCGGCCACCCCCGCCGGCCCCGGGCCGCCCGCGCCGCCGCGGCCGCCGCGCGCCTTGGCTCCCGCAGCCCCGGCAGCGGCGGCGGGGGCGACGGGCAGGTGCAGGGGCGCGGCGTGCGGGTGGTGCGGGTGGTGGGTGTGCGCGGCGCCCCGACGGCCCCGGCTGTTCTTGGCGAAGAAGATGGCCCAGCCC